GTTGTAGAAGTTTTAAAAAGTCGATACCACAAAACTCTAAGTTCACTGCCATCTAGTTGATTCCAACTCATAGTGACTCTCTAGGACAGATTTGCAACTGCCTGTGGGTTTCTGAGGCTATAAATCATTACAGAAAGCCTCATCTTTCTCCCAAGAACAGCTAGTGGACTTGACCTCACAGCCTATGGTTGGCACAATAAGTAATCCACTGTGCCATCGGAGAGCCTTAAAATGTTGGTAGAAGCACTTAAATGTCATTTGAGTCTAAATTGTAATTAATTTTCTAACTCTGCTACCTGGTGTTTGTTTGCTTAGGGTAGTTTTTGAAAAAATTCTCGTATAAAACTACTAAATAACTCATATGTACATGCCGTAATTTTCTTAAAAGTAACAACACTTCCCATTTTGCAATCCTGTCACCTTTCATCCTATTCCGTGAAGATCTTTACATCGAATTAGTGTAAATTGGAAAGATTAGCGAGTATAGTTCTAAAATTCGTTAGCCGTTTTTGGAATTGTTTTCCATGTCTGATAATGCCAATATGAAAGGCTGTCTTTCCACTTTCAGCCACAAGGTGGTGGCCTACACCTACTATCTGCAATTGTGCTCTGTAGCGTCTGATGGCTGGATCAAACCGTATTTGAAATACAATAGATCAAATGCTATAGAAAGTCACGTTGGACACAAAAAATTGCTTCTGAGAGCACACAGTCTTCCTAGAGAGGGTCTAATGTTATTTGAAGGGACTTCAGGGGCCTTCCACCAAGAAGCTAATTTTACTGCATTCATTAAAACATTTTCATTCAGATATAATTTCAAACTCATTAAAATGTTGCAAGGATAACTAAAAAAATAAATACCAACTTTATATTACCATGTATTTGGATTTACCTATTAGCATTTTATTCCATTTATCCCCACTTTCCTTATGTGTGTGGTGTGTGTCTGTCTGCATCCTGCGCGTTTCTCTGAGCATGTGTGGCCGTAGCGCATACATCACGGCATGTACCTCTGAATACGCCACTGTTTTTTCTGAAAGAAAAAAGTGCGTACCCCACAACCACAGTACAGTTATCAACTTCCATACATTTAGCATCGATACAGTATTTTTATACTATCTGCCAACGTATCAGTTTGTCATTTGATTCAATAATGTGCTTTATATCATTTCCCCCACCTAGCTCAGCTGTCTCAGATGTGTTTTTACATTTAATTATCACGTCTCCTCAGCCTCGTCTCACCGGGAATATTCCCGTAAGCGTTGTCTTTTTCTAACATTGATATTACTGATAACAAAATCTCTTCCCTTTGTTTTGAATACAATATTCCTTTTTTCATTTTGAGTGTGTCTGATGTTTCCTTAAGCGTAAGTTAGGCATGCTCAGCTGGAATACTATATGAGTCATGTGGCCTTTCCTGGGTATTGTGTGTGTTCACCTCTCTGTTGGTGTTGCTACATCATGCTTCTGTTGAAGGAATTTCTCTGTAAATTTAGGTGCATAGGTTTAGAAGAATAATCAGGGCCTTTTAAGAATCTATAGGTATAAGATACATAGAAATAGATGCCAAGACTGCCAGGTTTGAGGTGGCACACTTTAACTCTACTCCTTGCCAGGCTCTCAGCGCAGTGGGTTATAGACACTTAATCTGTCTTGGGATTTTTTAGGAACACTGTTGACATCTCCATGGGATCTGCCAATCGGTTATTTTGGTAAAAGAATTAAATAGTAGGTGATGTTAGAAATCAGTATAAAAATGGAGACATCTTAATTATAAATCTCGGAGAGGTAACAACTAACACCAAACCCAAGTTATTTTGTAGTCTGTGTATGAGTTAATGCTTAAGCTAGTGGGATTTCAGTAAAATGAACATGTCATTTTATGCTGATGTGAAAGAACATTGTAAATGTCTAAGATACATCATTACAAGCCTTTTCCAGACGTTGACGATTTGAGTCATTTGCTGCTACTAGCTGGATAGAAATAGTAGCAAATTCCCTAACTATTTCTAGTGTGTTGTAGGGTATGCATAAAACTTTTCAGAAGGTTAGATATTAGGAAAACTCATAGAAAATGGTCACCTTTCTCGCTTGAACTGTTGAACTTAATTGATTACTTTACTTTCAAGCTGAAAAGGATTTGTGGCATTAATATTAACACCCTCTAAGAGAGACCATTAGTTTAGTTTGCAGCTCTGTTGCGGTACATGATGAATCAAAACTTTTTCTGCATAATCTTATACTTAATCCATTTACTCTGATTACATATGTATATTATATATAAAATATGCAGTTCACACAGACTGTAGACATCAAAGCATTTGAGGTGTGAAATTAGGTGAATATAAAATAATTTGAATGCCAAAGTGCCCACTAAATTTAACAGTTGAACTTGAAAAATTGTGGGGCACTGCTGTGAGTTGTGACTTCTCCCATCAGCTACCCTGCAGAGGACTAGAAGGGCGAAACGCATACTTACCTCTCTACCTTCCTGCCAGGTTTGCCTCTTGATTTTATGAGGAAGCGCACCTTACACTGGTCCTCGTGCTGCTGCTTCTGCCACTGTGCATTTGCAGAGTGCAGTGAATGCTACCCCGAGGGCTTAGAAGAATTCAGTGTGTTTTCAAACGCCTAACGTAACTCTGGGAAACTGGACAGTAAATATCATTTGATTTAATTGTAGTTTCAAAAATTGTTTTTATTTATTTTCATTCCTCAGACAAGACATAGATTCTACTTCATCTCTGAGAGAGAACAAGCAGCCTGAAGGTTTGGAATTAAAACAAGGTATGGATAAAGCACTTACTTTTTTTAAACCCTTCCCTGAGGATTAGGAGCATTGTCACTGTAATACATTTTCACAGAGTTCCAGCTCCATTTCATGTTAGGGAAGCAGACTCATTCATTGGGTCCAAGATCAAAAGCATCGAGAATAAAGTCTCCAGCTCTTGACTCCTTCTCCCGCCGGCTCTACCTCAGTGCTGTCGAGTGGCCAGTTCCCACAGAAACGGTTGTCATCGTCACTAATTTAATTTCAATTACTTATTCTCAACTGGGTAGATTGGGTTGAATATGGGAACAATGATGTAGGATAAGTTTATCTTTAAAGTTTGGCTATCTTTAAGAAGTTACAAAATTTTTTTGAGACATTTTGTTCTTGCCTATTTTCTACCTTTTTAATTGATCTTTTAAAATCATTAAGTTTTTGTGCCATTTAGCAGAAGTGAAGTAGTAATTTGTAATTTATTCAAGACAAGTTAAATTAATAGGGCTAATCCTTTAAATGTCTTTGGTTTCTTTTCATGGCCAGTAAGAAAAATTGAAAGTAGAATAAGTCTTTATTAGGATCTCAAATGTCACCTGACATTTCTCTCCTTTCCTGATAACGTTAATTTAGAGCAGTGTGTATCGGTTGGTGCCAAGATGGTTGTGGAATCTGTTATGTATGTGACTGATCTTTGATGTCTTCAAATAGTTTTCCCAAATCTTGAGTCATAGAATGCATTTATTATAGAGAAGCAGACCATCCTCTTACTTGGGCAGACTTTTCCCCCTGTGGTGGTCTGCTACAAAGACTTAATTAGGAAAGTGCAGTATACGAGGTGTATAATTGAGTTTGTGATTCATTTGGTTTATATGTGGGGAAAACAAACTGCAGTTCTAGCTTGTGATTGGGGTTTATAGATACGAGAGGGTTTCAGAAACTTCATGGAGAAATTCAATTATTTTTTACTTCCAATATTCCACAAACTTTTTGAAGCCTGCTTGAAGGGCTGATGATTTTGAGAATTCTCAGTGTTTTCCAGAAGTCCTATTGCGTTAGTCTCATAAGTAGCCAGACAAAATATGTCTGTGAGCTTAACTTCCGACTACCACCCACCTACATAAACTCATATTCATAGTTTCATTTACATGTAATTGTCATGTATGGACATTTCCACTGACACACATAATTTTCACATATAATATTGTGTATCCTTTGTTCAGCTCTCATACCACCAGGTATAATTTGGATAACACAGCTTTTTTTTTTGGCCTCGTGCATAGGCAGCGATGTGCAGGCCATACTGGTAGATCACCGGGGAAGAAAGACCATCAGATAGAGTCTAGAAAAACGTGGGAGGGGCAAGTTGATCAAGGTTCTTGGGACTAAGGAGTGGTGATAGTAGTTTGCAAAGTAGCCAGTGCTGCCCTGAGGCCCGTTCCAACTCGTGGCAGCTCAGAGCGCCTTAGAACTCCCTTCCCATTTTGCTGTCATTTTCGCAGGGTAACTTAAGTCATTGGAAAACCAGCCATGGAGACAGCCAGGGAGGACAAATACCCTCCTAGCGGCCAGTTGTCACAGGCCTTTTATGCACAGGAGCCTGTGGACGTCTCCCAGGTTTACAGGAGGCCTCAAGGCCACTCACTGGGCATCAGGGAGTGCCAGCCAGCTGAAGTGAGAAAACAGACCAACGTGCGGCAGCCTGCTCCTGTGCTGACCCAGTCTGAGGAAATGGTGAAATCCAGTTCCGGCACTGAGATACAACCTTTTAGAAAAATGTCCATGACGATGATGAAAGCATCAAATGTTTTGTTGCATAATGGGGCAGCATAAACTATCTGCAGGACTCATTTATGTGGCCAAGCATCCCAATAAATGTCAGCATAGCTGAAAGTCTGGCCAAGTCATAAGTCACTTGCTTGGAGTTGCCTACAAATCTGAGGATAATAGGAAAGAAAAATCTTGGTAGGCGTAATAAAGATGATTGCCTTTTCTATATTTTCTGTTTTTACTATGCAAAACTTTAAAAAAGAGAGTTAATATTATCTATAACTTTTCTTCCATAAGTAGTGATTCTTGCTCATGGAATGTATATAATACTGCTCCTTGTAAATACATGCTGTCATTTCATTTGATGGCATGCCCATTTGAAATAATTCATCTAAGCTTAAATAATCCATTGTTCAGTAGGCCAGTAAACAAAACAACTTTGAATTTTCCTTTTGTTCTCTTAGAATAAAATACTCTTATTATATGACATACATACTGTTGGTGTGTAGTTGCAAGTAAATTACATTTTCAGTTTTTTCAGCTTCCAAAATATTCAAATATTGGGAAATACTATGAATTTGTTAAGCAGACATTAGCATTTCTTTGTCTAGTGCTAGTTACATTCATCTATCAGATTGTAAACTACCTTCTACCACATGTTAACATTGGACTCATACCTACACAACCACCTTTAATGTGCGGGTTTTATTTAAATGTAAACATTGATTGGTACTATAGTAAAATAGAAATTCATTTGTTAAGGTTAGTTTTCTAAATCATTCCTTTTAAACAATATCACTTTAATGTTGTGTTTTTTTAAATAATTTTATTCGGGGCTCATACAACTCTTATCACAATCCATCCATCCATCCATTGTGTAAAGCACATTTGTACTTTCATTGCCCTCATCATTCTCAAAACATTTGCTCTCCACTTAAGCCCCTGGCATCAGCTCATTTTTCCCCCTCCCTTCCAGCTCCCCCCTCCCTCATGAACCCTTGATAATTTATAAAATATTATTTTGTCATGTCTTACACTGTCCGACGTCTCCCTTCACCCACTTTTCTGTTGTCCATCCTCCAAGGAGGAGGTCACATATAGATCCTTGTAATCAGTTCTCTCTTTCCACCCCACCCTCCCTCCATCCTCCCGGTATCGCCACTCTCACCATAATGTGTGTTTATGCATGTATACTCACAGCAAATTTTTCATGTGTAATGTTTGATTTTATGCTAACTTCCTGGAGGATTTCTGAGCTTGTATCATTGAAAATGTTGGACTCTGTTTTTAAACTAGTGATGGCTACCACAAATTTTCTAAATAGATCATTGTATTAGAGTTTTAAAATATGAAAACTGCTAGTTGTCTAAGGTATTTTATGTCATTAGTCTTTTAAAAATACCAATGAAGAATCCGCTAATCTTAATGAATTCTCTTCCTGAAGACATTAAAAAAATAAGTAAATTGACATATTTAGCAATATTAAAATATTGAGCTGTATTTAAAAAATTGCTTTAGAGGTAACAACTGCATACATTTGCAAGTTACTCGCCTATTTTAACTTCAAGAATTAAGGTTTCATATTTGTATTCCTTCTTGGAAGTTTCCATGAATAATTTTTTTAAAGTTTACGTGAGAAATAGCTGAGAGAAATGTGGCTGAAAAGAATAGTTGAGGTTCATAGTAAACAAGAAAATGAAAATGACCCTGCAAGTCCATTGTTCCCTTAGAGACCTGCTCTTAGAGACCTGCACTGCAGGCTTGAGGAGGCTCCCCACCTCTGCAGGAATGGACCGTGTGCCACGCCTTCGCCTTCCTTCCCAGGCCTGGGATTAGCAGTTGGCCACCAGGGCGTCAAGGATTGTAGTAGTTAACTGACAATATTTGTAAGGCATTTAAAATGAAAGCGGGGTGGGGTTTTTTATGTGGTGTGTGAGAGTGAAACTAGGGTAAGTAGACAGATTTTGTTGCAATCTATTTCAGATAGTCAGTGTTATCCGAAAAATGTAGTGAGATGCCTTCAGCCGTCTTCATATTGCTGAAGGTATTCAGATATAGGTTACACAAGCCGTCACTTGGTGGCGCTGTTGTAGAGCGAATGCAAGCAAAGCTTAGCTGTTGGGCTTTGATCTTGAAGATCCTTTATACTGCTCAGATTTTTATGAAGACCAAAGCCTAGAGCAGTGTCTGTACTTGGCGAGATGTTTAATAATTGCTTTTTAAAGTTGTTTAGTTGGAAGCAGGAGGAAAGTGTACAAAAACTTTTTTCTGTTATCTTTACATTAAAAAAAATGCTTTTTTGGCAAAGGCAAGGTACTTGATTTAGTTGTAAGATATGCTAGTTGCTTGGAGTTCATTCATTTGAATATAGTAATTAAAATAAACAGTGCACCTCGGTAATATCAGAAACGACAGTAAGACACTTTATAAGGCATCTTCTCATGTAAAAACTACGTTCATTTACTAGACGCAGACAGCACGCACACAGAGTTTTTCTTTTGTTGGATCAAATCTCACTTTTCTTTTCTTTTTTTAATAATAAAAAAAAAATCGCTGCTTCCTACAATTATATACTGGCCTTCTCTCCCATGAGTTAGATAGTGAATGACAGGCAGTTTTGAAACTTGTTAACAAAAACTTCAGAAAGTTGAAAGGTAGACTTCCATAAGGGATTAAAATGTTTGGTTGCCAGTAGTTAAGCTATGGGATGAAAACTTAGAATAGATATTTTCTATGGAATTTTTTCAACCTTTCAGACTCGTGGTTACCCAAATGTGATTGTGCATGCCCCCCGGGAATAAAGGAAGAAAATCCTAGAACTCCCTAAATAAGACATATATAAGCATAACTATTTGCCCCCTTAACATTTCAGATTATGTTTATATTATTATATCAGTACACATTAATTTATGAGTAAACAAAAATATATACTGGGTGAGCATGCTAAATGTTTTAATGATAGTGTTGCATGGACAAAGAAATTGAGAGGCTATACTTTTAGACTACTGCAGAGGACCGAAGATCGCAATAGCTTACTGGCTTTATCGCTTTAAAAGATGGTGTGGTATGAGAGATTTTGCCATCATTAAGCAAAGATTTTAAATATAAGACTGTATGAGATATCCTACCAACTTATGTGCTCACTACTGTAGAGTTGATTTTGACTCATAGGGACCTTGAGTAGAATTGTCCCTGTGGGTTTCTGAGAATGTAGCTCTGTATTTTTTCATTTAAAGAGAACGTTTATGAAGAC